TGTACCTATTTGCGCATACCTAAATACGCACATCTACGTACCTATGTACCTATTTACGCATACCTACATAACTATATACGCATATCTACGTACCTATGTACCTATTTACGCATACCTACATACCTATATACGCATATCTATGTACTTATGTACCTATTTACGCATACCTACATACCTATATACGCATACCTACGTACTTATGTACCTATTTACGCATGCCTACATACCTCTATACGCATACCTACATACATACCTATACACGCATATCTACAATCAATATCCGCACTGTGCATAATCAGATGTGTGTAGCTAGCTGTACGTACCACCCACTCACACGTGTCATATGCACCTGCACCTGTCCTAAAGGTTCTCAGGTCCAGGACAAGAGTTGGGACAGGACAGAGAACACGTACTCACGCGCCGGTGGAGGGAATGACTGGGGCAATTCACCCAAAATGGGCCGAGACAGGGACAACAACGCCAATGGAGGAGGCTACAACCTCTCGTACCAACCAGAACGAGAGGCCAACCCAAGGGGAGCCTGTAAGTTACGGAGGTGTTGGTTATAGGTTGTAGGTAGCGGGTATTGTTTGCTTGTAGAGGAGGTTACATGAAGGATCGTTGGGCGTATGTGCGTTCAGAGTCTATTGTGTTCTATAATTATATCGCATATGTGTAAATGTATATGTATGTTTATGTATATATATATAGTGCGTGTGCGTGTGCGTGTGCGTGTGCGTGCGTGTGTGTGTGTGTGTGTGTGTGTGTGTGTGTGTGCGTGCGTGTGTGGCGTATGTAGATCTGTTGAAAGGTACTGAGGTGAACGTAACGTTTGTTTCTCATTGAGTGGCATTATACCATTCTACGCTAAGATGGGAGCTTCGTGCTTTGAGCTATGCTTTATCTACACCTGTACTCAACACGCAATTCGTAAGTACTTGTATCTGATAGACGCCAATCCATATCGCCTCTGTTCTATTTATAGATGATGATCTAGGAAGGGAACTATCTGGTAACGGTGGTGGCTATGGAGACAGCAATCAATCGTCGGGCGGGTACGGAAATAGCAACCAGTCATCTGGCGGTTACGGAAATAACAACCAATCATCTGGCGGCTATGGAAATAACAACCAATCATCTGGAGGCTATGGAAATAACAACCAATCATCTGGCGGCTATGGAAATAACAACCAATCATCTGGCGGCTACGGCGGAAACTCACAAGGCGGTGGTGGTGGCGCATATAAAAGCTCTGGTAAGCCCAAACTTTGACTTACATACCAGTGTGTCCAAATTTCGATGTAAAGTTATATGTTTATATTCTTGTATGTTAATGGTAGGGTATGCGATTGCGGTAGGGTGACGTGTGTAGTCTGATGCATGTATTGAACCCATTACATATATGTATATATATATATGTATATATGTATATATATATATATGTGTATATGTATATATATATATATATGTGTGTATATGTATATATATATATATATATATAACGCACACTAATCAAACATACACCGTACCCTCATATTGCAGGCTATGGCGGCAGTGGTAGCAACGGCAACACGTCCTCTCAAAGCGCTTCAGAGAAGTACGGCAATGCCAAAGCCATCTCATCTGACATGTTCAACGGCGGTGGTAGTGGCAACGGTGACTCTGATCGTCTGGGTCAGTTCGCAGGCGCTAAGTCACTGTCTTCAGCCCAGTACTTTGGCAGAGAGGAGGCGCCCGCGTGGCAGACGCAAAGAGAAGGTGAGTGTTTGAGTGGTTTTGGTTTTTGTTTTTGGTTTGGTTTTTGTTATGGTTTTGGTTTTGGTTTTGTGTTGTTTCAGGGAGAGTGCTGAGGGTTGGGTTGGGTTGGGTCGCACGCATCCTTTGGCCTTTTTTTGAAATGTTAAAGTTTTGGTTTCACAGCAGTGTTAGTTCAATCTTCCCACTGTCGCTTATGGGATCTTGGGTTTTGGGTTTGAATATCAGACAATAGTCCTGGCTGTTCCTAACATTTCCCTCGTGGCCATGGAATGTCCTTGCTCTTAGTATAGACTTCTGATATGTAGTCAATAAGAGTCCAACCCCACAGTATTCTGATTTGTCTTACTTTCGGCTTCATACTTTTGTTCTGCTTCTGCAGTTAATATTCACCCAGACTCCCCAGACTTCTGATCTGTCTCGTCTTTTTCTCAGTGGGCGCTAGTGAGATGGCCGCGCGGGTGTCGCGTGCCGCAGCCGAAGGCGTGGCGGATCTGTCAAACAAAGCATCGGACTATTGGGAAGACTTCAAGTCAAAGTATGGAGGTTAGAGCCTGACGAACAATGGTACCCACGCACTCACACACACACACACACACACACAGACGGAAGGGGGGGGGGGGGGATTAAAGGCGTATAGTGTAGTGGAGTACTGCGTAGGGATGAAGTATGCTTAGGATCAGACCGAGTCCGGTGTTGTTCTTCTGACCTTAGAACCACAGCAGCCGGACCTTTTTTTTTTTGGAAGAGGTCCCTGAGGGAGGCGGCTACCAGCGGCGTTGATTCGTAATATCCGGTCTAGGGGAAATGAATTCTACGACCGGAATGTACCACACTTTATTGTGACAGCAAAGGACTGTCTTTCCATTCGGAGTTATATTTCAATAAAATTAAGTCATGTGTATAGATACGTATATCGATTTGTCGGGAGTTTCCGATGGAGTGCACAGTTTAAGCCTATCTCTGTGTCTTTCAGCGCAATGTAACTGCTAATAGCGTCCACGGCAGCACCTCGACCGCTATAGCATTCGGTACAGTAGTACACCACTTCACACAGTGTGATCTATGTGCCTTTGAGCCCAAGGTGACTGCTAATGGCGTCGACGGCAGCACCTGAACTGCTTATAGCGTCCCCCATCGCCCCCAATGATTGCTCTCGTCACCTCTAACAGCTGATGCAACCCAAATACTAGTTGTTCTATACAAACAGTTGTTCTGTGTAATCTCAGTCCAACGCTTTTATTTCCATTCCCATTGCAACCTATTTGGATCCAATGCAATACGGGTTATTCAAACGCCAAGACCCGTACGTCTAATCAACACCTCCAAAGCTTTTGTTCCACCCTTTACTTAAACTCCTAACACTTTTCACCTTACTCACATCCCAATACCATACCGTATCATACATATCTAGTTGCGATGGCCATGTTTTCACCTATAACCCGAATGAATCCGAGCATATAACTACTAACATTGCATGACATTGATTTGACGGGATGGGCTCGGCCGACTCTGGTGTTCCGCCGCCAATGTGCATATGAATGGCAACTGCCAGCAAGTAATCATCGACATGCGTGCATACCCATGGTATGTAATCATGTTATGTAAAATCATGTTATGTAGCCATGTTATGTAATCATGTTATGTATAGTGTGTAGCAAGGTCCCCGGTATGTCTCGGATGTACCGTCTTTCTGAAGTATGTATTAGCAAAAGAGCTCGCATACATGCATATCAAGATCTTTGACATGTCTTCGGTGCACTGTCTTTCTGAAGCATTAGCCAGAGCCTTGAGTTTTTATACTACATCCTCAGGTATATCTATCCGCACGTTATCCCTTGCGAATCATTATGCGGCAGCCACGCCCACACCAGTTGTTTGTGGGTACCTTAAGTGAACGGCAGAGTTTGGATAGTATCCCTTGTCGGGATATCACGCCTACGGAGACTCGACCATGGTCTTTGTGTTGGCTACTCGACTCTATCACGTACTGTACTATCGTTATACGTTAAATAAAACTTGTTTGGTTTGTTATTCTTTATTGGAGGTCCCCACGCGTGTACACGAACGCTCTAGAAATGATTCAAACATATCAATACTGTCGAAGAACTACAATGTTCAACTTATCCTCGTCACTGTGTATTCATTTGTGTGATCTACAAGTCAGACATGCTCAGACACTTGAAAGCACGAGAAGAAGAAAAAAACTGACGAAAAGGAGAAAGTAAAAAGAGCCACGACTTGTCACCACAAAACTTAGAAAAATTCTAGAGTGGCGGGCCGTCACACTATAATTTATACTACGTGTGTATGTGTACATCATGAATGTATCACATATAGATCTACATATTTATACATATATCATATGTACATTACATATACATCCATATATTTACATATACATCATGTGTGTATCGCTAC